GGGTGGTACCGAGGTCATGACCGGTCATCAAATGCAACATCAGCTCAATTGGTGAGAAATCTGTGGTTGGGGGCAGCTATCTCCAGGTATGTTGATCCCTTACCTTATCTACCCTCTCAATCTCTTCTTACCGTGAGGAAGTGAGTCCAACTTGAGAGTCCTCTCCTTGTTGAGGTGTCGTGAGCGCGCTACCTTGAGAGACGACAATCTTCACGGAAGCATCTGGAAGGAGAAAGGGTGGTGCCTCTGAAGGGCCCTGGTCGAAGCACTTGGGTCACGGTCACCATGCCAACCCACAGGGAGTAGTGCCCTGGTCGATGGCTGCTGTCCTGTTTGGCACTTGCTGCGCTGATAGAAGTTCCTCCGGGTGTGCCAGCCCATGACAGACGCTTACCAGACCGTCTATAAACATTTCTGGTTGGGAGTTCATTGTGATTCTGGCTGTGATCGTCGTCCTGACTGCGACGTTATATAATTCCTGAAGAGATGGGGGCGCTCTATAAATTCCTCCTTATCAGCCAGATCACATGGACAGGAAGGCTCGTCGCCGTACGAGGGTAAATAAGAGTGGTTGGGCTGGCTTGCTCGGTGACAACTTGGGCACAGGGGTGGGCCGAAATACACACGAAGACACTGCCTGCTCAATGATGCTGTTCGGATGGTTGGATTGAGGGGAGGGTAGGTGCCAATTGGTGCTCAACTGTATACACAACAATACCCATCAATCATACATCTGCTACATTGTCTTTTTGTACCTTTGATTAGTTGGTTGACGGACTGCTAACCTCACAGACAGAATTAGTGTAGGATTGTAGTATCCTACCATAGCCAGTTTTAACTAATGCTGCTGTAAATGAACCAATCAGGGTGCATCTAGACTATGTAGACAATTTGTGTGAATGTTGTAGACATGCCACTTGATTCGGTATAGTAGGGAACTCGCCGGACACAACCATTTATAGAAAACTACATGTCGGTCAGATACGTGCTGCGGTAGGATTCCATTAGGGGATTCTAGTGCAGATACTATCTGCCTAACTAATGAGTGGGACAGACCCTGTTGATGATAGAGCAGACCATAGAAGACTTACACGTGCAGATGCACTAAGGGTTCCGCACGTGTTCAGGACCTTGGATGAGGGAGAAGAAAGACGGCTTCGTGCCGAACGTAGAGCCCATGCTCTAGCAGTAGGACTACAGGAAGCAAACAGAGTAGCAAGAGAGCGGGCAACGGCAGCCAGAGAAACAGCAATGGCTAATGGTACCAGCTCTGCTGCGTCATCGTCTGCATCCTCGTCAGGGAATAGTGGGATGAGTGTGGGAATGCCAACTAGTTCCACAAGTTCCTCAGGCATTTCTGGTTCCACAGGCTCTAGCCGGTCTTCTAGTCAAATGGCGGGCTCGCAGTTCAGCCCGTTGACCCCGCGTCAGAGGGAGCTCAGAGAGATCCAGCAGGTCGAGATGCTCCACCGTAAGTTAGAGAAGGACCTGAAAGATGCTACCGATAGAGAAAATGCGATGAAAACTAGAGCAGCCAGGCTTGAATCTTTAGAGGCTGACAAGGCTGAACTAGAGGGCTTGGATGAGTCAGCGTTGACTGACCCACTGAAGGTATTGAAGAAGAACATGTTGTCATTACACGCACACGTGGACAGCAAGTTAGACTTCATGCAGAGCACTCTAGACCAGATCCTGGATGCTTTGACAAGGCCAGGATTCCGGCCACCAGCACAATCGTCGTTGCCGTTATCGGCGATGTCAGGCCCCTTTCCGGTTCAAGCTGGCACACAGTCAAGTGGCACATCTGCAGCAGCCGCTCAGACTGTTGCATCTTCTTCTTCGGGTCCAGCGGTGGTTGCTACATCACCGCAACAATCTGTTCCTGCACAGGGACAGCAGCAAGGTCAATGGTATCCCAAAACCCCAATGAAACCGCCTCTTGCCTTCTCAGGCGAGAGA